CGCCCTTGGTGACTTCGTTGGGCAGCTTGTTGATGTGGATCACAGGGGACTGGACACTGGCACTCTTGCTGTCACCTTTGAACTTCTTGCTATCACTTCCGTTTGCTGCAGAGGTAGAGTTGCTGCTCATTATAAAGGGTCCTTSAGTGACACACGTAGAGAAAAGCTCGTCAGATCCCCGATTCACGCTAACTGCTATGTCTGGGTCAATGCAGTCCATGGCACCAAAATGAGGTCTCATCTTTAAAATGGAAATATTCTAGCCTCTTTGAGGATTAAAATAACTAACTTGTAAATTGCCTAAGAGGAGGGAAACTCTGACCCCACTAATTTATTTGCACATTATTTGCAGCCTCACTCTTGATACAATGACAGAATCGAGCAGTTAGGCTAAAAACCTGAGATATCTAAAACGTTTACTATATGGCCTCATATAGGAAAAATATGAAAGCCCCTTAGCTAACTCAAAGTGATGAGATTTACTTTCTTTTTTAAAAGGAAATAATAGATCCCAGCTTCCTAGCCCATATGGCATGACAGAAAAGTGGAGAATGCCCTCTTACCACTCATAAAAACATTGAATGACTAAAAGGATATGGATAAATTCATTTCTTAAGCATTAAAATCATAATCTAATTTACATGGTTTCAAATAATATAATTAATAGATAATTTTACCTGTTTCTTGGCTGGTTTCCTGCTTCCTTTTCTTCACAGTTACACATTTTATCCAATCTTCTTTTGTACTTTTTATTCCTGAAACTATTTAAATATTTATTTTCAGATCTCTACATATTGGTATTCATCTTTTTGTAATATAATTAAGAAATCTCACATTAACTTGAAAATAGATTTTGGAATACACCAAGATAAGTTAGGGCCTGGAAAAATGATGTATGAAGTGCTTGAATACCTCCAATGAAAAATTAGCTATTTTTAATAAAAGTTTCTCTTCACATTCTGTATTTGTTTCTCTCCGGGGGCTGAAACACAGACACATCTGGGGTATTCAAAGAAATGAGAGGGCAAGCCAGTCCCATGGCCCATCTACTTCCACTCATGTGGCTACACCCAAGGCCTCAGGTTCTAAGGACCCAAATGAAATGGATTATTGAATCATCCACATTTAACAAATTGAATTCTGTATTCTCATCACACATTCCTCTCACCTTCCATGAAAACGTACCCTGTTTATGCTGAATCTTTCTTTATACACCCCAACAGAGAGTCAGAAAAACACAGCAAAGACAGATTTTTACTCAAAATCCTTTAGGTTTCCAATCTAGATTTCTAAGCACAGTGCTTTATGTTAATAATCACAACTCCTGAATGTTCAAACATAAATGAGTACAAACAACTAGTCAGTCATTTTCTCCTTTATTCCTGCTCTGCTCATGGCTGCCACTCTGTCTTTAGTGACATAAGTCACACTGCTTTCTGGTCCCCATTTCATGTGCAGATTAGATGTTACCATCTGCACTAGTCATTGACAGTTTCAAAGATGAAAATAAATTGATCAATTTCTATATGAGGGGCTGGGGATGTGGCTCAAGCGGTAGCGTGCTTGCATGGCATGCCTGTGGCCCGGGTTCGATCCTCAGCACCACATACAAAGATGTTGTGTCCACTAATAACTAGAAAATAAATATTAAAAATTCTCTCTCAAAAAGAAAGAACTGCTAGATTTAAAAATAAATAAATAAACTTTAAATTTCTWTATGAACAAAAGGACCTTCCTACTAACCATTACATGTCTCCCAATATTTAGAATAAAATTTCAATTTACAGGACTGCTTTTAAATTATAAGTCAAAAAAATATTTTTGATAATATTATCATTTCTTTTTTTTTTTTTAAAGAATTTATTTATTTATTTTAGTTCTCGGCGGACACAACATCTTTGTTGGTATGTGGTGCTGAGGATCGAACCCGGGCCGCACGCATGCCARGCGAGCRCGCTACCACTTGAGCCACATCCCCAGCCCATATTATCATTTCTTAATTTTGGCAATGGGGATTGAATCCAGGGGCAATTTATCACTAAGCTACATCCCCAGCCCTTTCAGTTTTTATTTTGACAGGACCTTGCCAAGTTGCTGAGACTGGCCTCCAACTTGTTATCCCAAGTGGCTGGGATTACAGGCGTGCACCACTGCACCTGGCTCACAATTTTTTTTTTTTTTTGGGGGGGTGCTGGGGATTAAACCCAGGGCCTCATGTGAGGCAAGCACTCTACCAACTGAGCTATATCTCCAGCCCTCACAATATAACTTGATAGTAAATGAAATATCTGTATTTGGCAAACTTTATGATTTTATGTAACTCTTGTCATTACTATGAATTTACTATAATTTACAATAAGGGAGCCACAAATCTAAAACAAACATTGCTCACGGAAACATTATCTGACAATAACACATTCACATGGTTCCCAGCCACCTAGAAAGCACAAGGTACCAGCCCTTTTATACATCAAGAAAATTATACTTCACCTTGCACCGGGGCTTGCTCTTGCTCCTTAGAATGAGGCTTCTGATCATTCCCTTTTTTGACAGAGTTTTCATTCTTTAACAGTACATCTGGACATAATTTAAACTCTAACATGCTTGGTTTTACTGTGGTGTCTTTCACAGGAGAAGAGTTCTGAGGGTTCTTTTCCTGCTCTTTGTCTTTCTGAAGCTTTGGGGGTGGTGAACTGTCATACTGGGTGAGACAAATGCTTTTCTGTTCCGTGCACTTAAACGCAACTCTGTTCAGATACAATTTTCTTTGCTTGTTTGCTTGGGGAGGCATTTGGTGGAATTCAACTTCACTACTTGTATTGGTGGATTTTTGGTCGGCTTTGGTTTTATCAGTACACACTTTGTCAGGCAGCATGTGCTCAGCTCTTCCTTTAACATTCCTTGAATTGTCATTCTTAGACTTCTCAGAATGGTGGAGTTTGAGGCTTTTAACATTGCTGGTCAACACATTTGCTGGTTCTTTAGAAGCCTCTGTACTGCTGCCTGGTTTCTCATTTGGTTTCCCAGAGTTCCCCATCTGCACAGGAAGCTGACTGGGCCTCCCATCAGAATCATGTGGTACATTGTTAACACATGTCTTCTCTGATGTTTTGTTGGCCATCCATTCTTTATGCTTCTGCCTTTGTAAATATTCCTGCGGTGTTATGATTTTCTTAGATGAATTATGCTTCAAGTCTGAGGACTTTGTGTTTTCTTTAACACTATCTCTCTCGTTAGGGTTTGACAAAATATTACAGAATTTGAGTGYACCTCCCACATTTTTCTTCTGTTCCTGTTTATCAGATTTTTCCTTGTTTATCTCCCCATCCAGTATGTTCCCTTGGTCTAACTTTCTTTCTTCTGTATGTCTTTGTTTGGAGCTACCTACCCTAAACTTAAATTTTTTCTTTTCTGGTGATAATAAATGTCCCAAAGAACCATTCCTCCTATGTAGCTCTTTAGTTTTCACTTGGAGTGGACGAGAGTTCTGTGGTATGTGTTTCTCCTGCTGGTTTACCTGGGAAGCTTCTTCACAAACCATTGTCATTTTATTAGTCAAGTGAAAAGACACTTCATGAAATTTCAATTTTCTTTTTCTTGTATTACTTTGCAAGCCATCTAGTTTGTTGCCTTTTGGTGAAAAYTGACAATTCAATTCTTTTTCTTTTAGGGAGCTGTCCTGTTTCGCTTTAGATGTGTCCTTTTTATCGCCATCACATTTAGAGAACTGACCAGGTAATTCCTGTTCTGTCCTTAGTGAGCAGTTCTTTGTTTCAGATGTGTTTTTTATACTGTCACCACATATTTCAGGGAAATTTTTTTTCTCAGCCACCAGAGTAAGAGTTGTCTTTGGATTATCTGAAACATTATATTCAAGGATAGTGATATCACTCTCTGAGGTTGTCTCTCCTTGTTTACAACTCTTGGTCTCCAAAGGAGAACAGTGATCCTTCCCTTTCTCTTCCTCTGGGGTGGAACTCTTGATGGAATCACACTGGCATTGAGGCACTCCTTCATAGACCGTTGTGAGCCAACCCAATGCACAGCAATGGATTTTGTCCTTTTCTGGTTCCCATGTTACAGAATCACAACTGGCTTCTGAGGTAGTTGCTTGTGGGTAAGACAGGCTCCTTTCTGCTATAGGCTTCTCTGTCTGAGATTCTGCCAACCTATCTACCTCACAGGCTTCCTCTGTGTCTACATCACAGGGGTCACCATCTTCGGGAAATAATTCTTTCATTTTTTCTGAGCTTAATATGGTAATTTGTATTTGGTCTGTGGAGTCCTTAGAATCACAAATGGTTTTATCGCCAGTTTGATCTTGTGAGATTTGACCTGTCACTTTTTGGCCCCCAGACTTTTCACATAAGTTCACAGCTTCAATGCCATAGGGAAACTCTTTTAGAAGTTCTGAGAGCTGGTCATGTAGATAAAACACAGGTGTGTCATCATCATGAATCTCCTTTCTTGCAGGATCTTGGGTAGTGACATCACTGGCTGCCTTGATTTCTTGAGGGTAAATACTCTGCTGAATTGTGGGGGGTGAACAATGTACATCTTCACCTGTGCTTTCCTTTCCAATGGTTTGTTCTAAATTGCTTTCCTCTGGAATTCCTCTGTTTGTTTCAATATACTTAAAAGATAACGACCCTGGAGGTTCCAGTGACTCGGAATGATCAACTGTTTCATGAGGAACATCTGTGCACAGCACACATTCATCTCTTTGAAAACCAAGGTCCTTATTTGTAGTGGTATTATCTACTTGCTCTTTTTGTTGACTGCTATTAATCACTTGCTGATAGGATGAAGAGAGTTTCTGTGGGTCGATCTTTTCCAAAGGGGAAGAGTTGAATATCTTTGCTATTTGAGAATTATAAGTTACATCGCCTTCAACAAGAGAACAAATATTTTCAATCAGTAATATATCATCACTCTCAGCAGAAATGCTGTTTGATTTATATGAGGCTTGCTGATCATCCAGAGGACAGTGCTTTCTTTGACTGGTATTAGGCATGTGTTCTGAATTACCACTAGTTGGCTTTTCCTTCTGAGTTAGTGGAAAAGCATTGGTTGATATTGTAGTATTGGCTACTGGACTGTTAACATTGACGTTCACTGAAGCATCCACTATTTTATTTTTTTCCATTTGACTTTGTAAGCTACAAATACTACCTTCTTTGATAACTGGATACACCAGTTCAGGTAAAGCTTCAGGTGTCATTCTTTTGTGAGGCAATGATCTGACATTTGAAAGAATCAAGGGTGACACAATAGCAATCTGAAGTTCTGTCCCCTTGGTTACATTTGCACCAGAAGAGTCATAATTTTGTGTTATCATTGTCAAGGTTGTTTCCTGGGATGACTCTGCCCTTTTATTCTGAGAATTTCCTTCAACTGAACAAAACCCCTTCTCATCACCCTCTGTAGTCATTGAAATTCCATGCGCAGTTGTTTTTAATTCATTACACTGCTTTTCCTTTGAAGGTTTTGAAGCTTCTTCTGTTGCTGTTGTTGGTGTCTTCTTCCAAAGATTAAGACATGTTGTTAGCAATTCCATGGAACAGTGACTGTCACTTTTAGCAGATATTCCTTGGGTTGAGAATTCAGAAGGCTGAGCTGGTTCACTACAAGAGCTATTTGCTGTTTTCCTATATCCCATTAGAAGATTTTTATTAATTCTAATTTTCCTTGAAAGTTCTGAAAACTTCTTTTTAATTTCTACCAATGACTTAATATCTCTCACTAACTTTTCTTTCGTGTCTAGTACCCGATTTGAAGCTGGATTGCAGGACTCCATTCTTTTCTCTTGATTATTTTGAGCAGGAATCTGAATACTATCCACAGAAGATCTAACTGGTTCATTAAAAGGCTGTTCGATATTAGTATGTACTTTCAAATCACAGAAATTTCCAATTGTGTGAAAATTTTCACTACTGTTTGGCCAGGGCTGATGAAAGCCTTTAGTTGAGTCTTTTAGTTCAGATGAGTACACTTCAGGACTCTGAGGAACTTCCGTAGGCAAGTTTTTTATAACATGTTGAGAATTTGGCAAAGGCTGGCTTCCATTTCCGGAAGGGTAAGGAAGAAGAGGAGGGGGTCTTTTGTTTGTTTGTGTAGGGTATTGACATGAGGACACAGGCAGAGTCTGTGATGACTGTAAAACGTGCATTAAGGTTGGAAGCTGACAATTTTTAACTTGAGATGATGTAGATAGCATGTTTTGTTTCTGAACAGCTGGCTCTTGTAAATAGCTTTGTGGTGCAATGTTTTGTTTCTGAACAGCTGGCTCTTGCAAAAAGCTTTGTGGCTTAATGTTTTGTTTCTGAACAGCTGGCTCTTGCAAAAAGCTTTGTGGCACAATGTTTTGTTTCTGAACAGCTGGCTCTTGTAAAAATCTTTGTGGTGAATAAGAGTATTGCTTTGGAGGTCGTCTATAATCACGATAAGTCTGTTCATTTGATGTATACTGTTGCACCCAATCAACCTGTCGATCTGATAGTGATTGGCTAAGTCCCTGATCTCCTTGAAAAGTTACAGGAGCTCTTATAGAATTTGAAGTGTTCATTTGTAGTTGCAAAGAATACCTATCTGATGATACAAGTTGACTCTGTAGTGCATGAGCATTAGACATATTAGTTCCAACATCAGCCTGATGACATATAGTTGCCTCTAYATGAGAAGGCATGGAATTCCTCGTTGATGAATTCAACCATACATTTTGCGAAACTCCTGAAGACACTTGCAAATTATGATTTGGTTGTCTGGGTCCAGTATATTGTGTGCATGTTATTCTTTCTACTGATGTTTGTGAGGCCATCACTGTCCTGTTTTGCGTATTAGAAACAGGAATTTGAGGAGTATTATAATTTCTGATATTTTTCACTGGTTGTAAAACTGGATTTGAATTACTGGGATATTGTGAAACTGGATTTGAATTACTGGAATACATGCATGCTTCATTATTTCCAAGAAGGCTGAAAGAACTTGGAGATGTTGTGGTAAGCTGGTTTATAAAAAACTGGTGCAGAACAGATGACTGGCTTTTATTATATGGTGGTGGTGGTGGTGGTGGTGGTGGTGGTAACATATCACCTTCTGGCTTTGCATTCCAACTCATGACTGGTGTGATATGGTAGCAGTGGAATAAAAATGTTGTTTTTGAATATCAGGAACCTGCAAGAAATAAAGATTTGCTATTAAATTGATCTTCTGCATAGACAGGATTTCTAAAAAAATTAGTAACTGGGGTTGTGGCTCAGTGGTAGAGCACTTGCCTAGCATGTGTGAGGCACTAGGTTTGATCCTCAGCATATATGAATAAAATGCAAGTACTGTGTTCATCTACAACTAAAAACATTTTTTTTTTTAAATTAGGAGCTAACTGTCTATCATAATTACTGCAACTTGAGACTAAAAAACACTATAATCTTGGAAAAGGAATAGCAACAAAAGCTGCAATAAGAAGACAATAATTAAATGTATAGAATGKATAAGAGGCATTCGTTTACATGACATGGTTATTACTGTTATTTAAGTGGCTATCACTTTATATTYTACTTCTTATTTTTGGACAGTGCTAGGGAATCGAACCAATGGCCTCCTTGAAGCTGAACATGTGACATACCTGAACTATGTCCTTAACCCTGCTTTTGCTTGTTTTCACAAGCTTCTTATTCTAAATAATCTGTGCTAGTTTCAAGCAAAAAAACAAAACAAAGAAAACAACAATAACAACAAAAAACAGAGTACATTACTTTCTTCAGAAATTTTCTAGACATAGCCTGGAAGGGTGAAGCATGCCTGTAATCCTAACCAATTTGTGATGACAAATGAGGCAGGAGGATTAGTTGGAGGTCATCATGTAACTGAGTACAAAGGACCCTTTTACTCAATTCCCTAAACAAACACTGGTTCATGCATAAAATCACATTCCTATAATCCCAGCCACTTGGGAGGTGAAGTAGGAGGATCCCAAGATCAACATCAGCCTTGGGCAACAAAGTAAGACCTCAAATTCTCAGAAAACCAAACATCAGAAAACCAAAGCATCTTGTATGAATCTTAAAAAAGGAAGAAGGGACATCCAATACCATGTGCTGGAGATGTCTCTCAAGCAAAGTCAAGGGGACAAGAAAAGCAGGCCTGAGTTGGAAGCAGTGGTGCAATCCAGGAATCCCAGCAATGTAGGAGATTGAGGCAGGAGGATCATAAGCTTAAGGCCAGCTTTAGTAGCTTAGTAAAACTTAGTAACTTGCCAACTTAGGAAGATCTGTCTCAAAATTTAAAAATCAAAAATACTGAGGATATAGCTCAGTGGTAAACTGCCCCTGGGTTCAATCCCCAACCCCCATACAAAAAACAAAGTAAAAGAAAGTGGTTTCTCCCMAAACTAAACATCTCGTATGTGCTTTTACATTTGCGCTGAATGTTTCTAGAAATGCCTATATGTAAAATCAATGTGTCAAGATACACATAAAAATAATTTTGATAAAGTGACAAACTATTTCAAAAAGGTTAAAATAGTTGGCACTCTTACCAACAGTCCATTGATAAATCTAGAAACGGACAAAAGCCAGTATTGAATCCCTGTAWCCTCACCAACTTGGGAGGCTGAAAGCAGGAAGATGTCAAGTTCAAGGTCACTGTCAGAATTTTTGGGAAGCCCTAAGCAACTTAAGGAGAACCTGTCTCAAAATAAAAAATAAGACCTGGGGATGCAGCTCAGTACTTCAAAGGGCCTCTGGGATAAATCCTCAGTACCAAAAAAATAAAATAAAATGAATTTAATTGTAATATCCCCAGTTGGAGTCTATTAGGTAGCTGGTTGTTGATGGGGAGTGATGCATAGAGGTGCCAGAGGTTAAGTGGTGAGCCATGTGAGAACGTTTGGTCTGGAGTTTTCTCTCAAACACAGTCTGAGCAAACTAATACAGAGCCTACTGTAAACTGGGTTTTCCACCACTCCCTTCTTTTTTTTGCTGGCACAGAACTAAACTATATATAAGCACTCTGAAAACTCAAATTAGAAGGAGGGAGTCGTCATGATAGTTAAAAGTTTTCTCAAGAATGCCTAAAGAAAGGGCTGGGGACTAGCTCAGTGGCAAAGTACTAGCCTACTGTGTGGTAGTTAGGGCCTGGATTCAGCCCCCAGTACCCACCACAAAAACCTGTTTTAGTCAGCTTTTTCACTAGTGTGTGTGATAGAAGAAGGACAAGGCAGAGAAAAGTACTTCGGGACATAAAAATCAGGAAGCAGAGAGAGAGAGCTCCACTCATCAGGGAAAAATATATATCGCAAAGGCATGCCCTAGAGCAACCTACCTTCTCCCAAGTACTCCACCTGCTTAGACCATTCTAATAGATCAACCACCAGTTAATCCATCCAAGTGGATTAATGCACTGATTAGGTTAAGGCTCTCATAAGGCAATCATCTCACCACTAAACTTTCTTGCATTGTCTCACACATAAACTTTTGGAGAAAATTTTTTTATTTAAACCATAACAAAACTCGTCTCTGGGTTGGGAGTGTATCTCAAGTATGGAGTGCTTGCCTAGCATGCACAAGGCCCTGCATTCAATCTCCACAACTTCCAGGAACAAAAAAAAAAAATACAATAAAATAAAGAAAGAATGAAAAAAGAAAGCATCTCCTTCTTTGCATAAAAGCACCTAAAATTTTCTGAAGAAAAGTCAGGCCGGGCACAGTGGCACACACCTATAGTCCAGCAGCTCAAGAGGCTGAGGCAGGAGGATCATGAGTTCAAAACCAGCCTCAGCAATGGCAAGATGCTAAGCGTCTCAGTGAGACCCTGTCTCTAAATAAAATACAAAATAGGGATAGGGATGTGGCTCAGTGGTTGAATGCTCCGAGTTCAACCCCCAGTACCACCGCCCACTCCCCCGACAAAAAAGAAAAGTCAAGAAACGTAGACATCAATATTACCTCACAATTCTACTTCATTGTATTGAAATCTGATTTATATTCAAAATAGGGGAAAAAAATTACACACACACACACGTAGACATCAATATTACCTCACAATTCTACTTCATTGTATTGAAATCTGATTTATATTCAAAATAGGGGAAAAAAATTACACACACACACACACGTAGACATCAATATTACCTCACAATTCTACTTCATTGTATTGAAATCTGATTTATATTCAAAATAGGGGAAAAAAATTACACACACACACGTAGACATCAATATTACCTCACAATTCTACTTCATTGTATTGAAATCTGATTTATATTCAAAATAGGGGAAAAAAATTACACACACACACACACACACACACACGCGGGACTGGGGGTATGGCTCCTCAGTGGCAGGTTACAGGCTTAGCATGTGCAGCACCCAAATAAATAACATCCCATTCCCCTTTCTTCTTGGCATCAGACTGTCTCCATGGGGTAATTAATTCACACAGCCTATAGGATTTTGAGTGTTCAACAAACATAATTACTAATCTCTTAGGGTTCTGTACTGCTAGTCTTATTTACAGCCCTTCATAAAAATCTCTTAAGAGGAAAATTTGCAATTGCTCCTTATCCTGGTTTCAAGGCACCCAGAATGGACACTGCCATGTGTATGTCATTTTTCTGCTGCATCAAAGAATACGTATAATTTTACATAAAATTGTATTTTCTCTACCACATCTGGTAGTGCACACTGGGAATTGCAGTCACTTGGAAAGTTAAGGCAGAGTTGAGCCCTATCTCAGCAACTTAGCAAAAACTCTGTCTCAAAATGAAAAAAAAAAAAAGGGCTGGGGATAGAGCTCAGAGTTAGAGCCATCCTGGGTTTAATCTCCATATCAGAAATCAATCAATAAAAATAACTTATGTTTCCACAAAACTAAAATATATAATGAAAATATCATTAAAGAATTAAGATACTAAATTAAGCAATATTCTTTTAGCTGGGCATGGTAAAGCCCATGGTAAAGCCTGTAGTCCCAGCGATTTTTAAAAGATAAATGGTTGGGGATGTTAAGTCAGTGGTAGAGTACCCCTGGGTTCATTATCCAATACCATAAAAAAATTCATCCAATGAAAAATAATAAAGTGTTATAAAACTCAGAAAATGGCAGATATGAACCCAATTATATCAAAATAACATTAATCAATCTAAAAGACAGAGATACCAGACTGGATAAAACTACCCAACTATCCAACTCTCCGTAGTTTGTAGGAGACACACACCTTAGATTTAAAGAGACAGTTTAACGAATGGAAAAAAATCAYCATGCAAACAGCAGCCACAGAAATCTCCTATCTTATTTTCTATTTCTATAACTGAATACCACACCTTGGGTAGTTTATAAAGAATAAATATTTATTTGGCTTATGGTTCTGAATGCTGGAAAGTTCAAGACCAGGCAGCTGAATCTGGTGAGGTTTTTCCTGTTGGTGGGGACTTGATGGCATCCTAAGACAGCAGAAGGCATCCCATGGCAAGATGTAGACCAAGCATCCAAGCTCAGATTGTTCCTCTAAACCTTAACTACCTCCCAAAGGTCCCACCTTCAAACATGGTAGTTTCTACTGACTGAACACCTCACATGGGGATTAAATTTCAACATGATATTTAGGCGGGGGCATTCAATCGACAGCAGCTGGAATGGCTACACTAATACACAGACAAAATAGATTAAGACACAGGATCTCAATTCCCTACTTGCAATGATGAATAGAAAAATGGCCAAAAATCAGTAAGAAAACAGAAGCCTTGAACATACACACCCACATCCTTTCCTCATAAAAAAACAACAACAAAAAAAAAAACTGAAGTACCTAAGTTATAGGAGAGGGACTAATTGTTTGCTAGTTGTAGGTAGGACCCGTCTCTAGTCTTTGACAGTTACTGTGGATTGGACCCAGGTGTCCAAATACTCATGAAGTTACAGTCAGCACGCAGGCCTGTAATAGCAAGCACATGCCATCAACACACTGAATTCTTTTTCTTTATATTTCCTTTTTGGTGGTACTGCAGTTTACACTCTACCACTAAGCCACATCTCCAGCCCTTTCTTTTTTTATTTTGAGACAGGGTCTTAACTATGTTGCACAGGCTGTTCTTTATCTCCTGCCTTAGCTTCCTGAGTTGCCAGGATGACAGGAGTATACTACAGTGCCTGGTATCATTATAGTCATTTTAAAATTG